AAATTTTCTTCTCTAAAATTGTCTCCTTTCACCTCCTTTCCTGCTCTCTAGCAATATTCTGTCGTCTGCTTTCGTCTCCTCTTTCTGCCCCCACCCCCTCACCTCCTTTGTCCCCTCCTCTGGGCTCCTGACTCTTTCTGCAGCCTTTCTACTGCTACTCCTTGACTCCTTCTTACAGCTGTCTTTCTGCCACACCCCTGATCTTCTGGTAGGAAAGATCTACACCTAGCCTTCTCGGACAAGGGCGAAAAATCTCGGAGGGCCCGTGTGCAAGTTGCGCACGCTAAAGATCCCTTGGTGGTCTAAAATCGATAAGAGTAGGCTTCGGCCGCCACCCGGGCAAAATTCAAAATTTCCTACCAACTGAAAATATTAGGTGTGTCCCGCGCGCTCATATGACATATGCAGTTGCGAGCGCCGTAAAACACTTTACAAAAAAAAAAAAAAAAAAAAGATGCTGTGGCTATTTCACTGTTCGAATCGAGCCGAACCACGCGGGTCGCCATTTTGTTTTGCCCGGAAGTTCTCGCAAGATCTACTCCTCCCCCCTCTCTCTCTCTCTCTCTCTGTCTCTTTCTGAATACTGTCTATCGATGTGGACGATCAAATTGGCCAAAACAAAGTTAAAAAATGATGTTAAAACACAAAAGTAAATTAATTTGGTTGTCTACAAAGATGCTACGGCTATTTCACTTTTTGGAAGTGGCTATTCTCATCCGGGGTGAGAATAGAAAAACGATCTACCTCTCACCCCGGGTGAGAATTGCCAGCGTAGGCTATTCTCACCCGGTGCGAAACAAGGCCTGCTTTTCCTCATTTTGGAATACTGTCTATCGGTGTGGATGATCAAATTGATAAAAGCCAAGAAAAAATTACGTTATAGCACAAAAGTAAGCTAATTTGATCGTCTTCAAAGATGCTATGGCTATTTCACTTTTCGAATCGAGCCGAACTACGCGGGTCGCCATTTTGTTTTGACCGGAAGTTCTCGCGCTACTCCCCCCTCTCTCTCTCTCTCTCTCTCTCTCTCTCTCTCTCTCTCTCTCTCTCTCTCTCTCTCTCTCTCTCTCTCTCTCTCTCTCTCTCTCTCTCTCTCTCTTTCTCTCTCTCTCCACTGCCCACAGACAAAATTGTACGCTTTTAGTCTTTAGTAGGCCCTAGGCTACAGTTGTAATGGAACGTTTGTTCACGGCACAGAATTCTACAATTTTTCTGTTATCACAGTGTAGAATTTTGTGGTTTAGGGTGAACGCAAGGAGATTAAAAGTAAAAATGCCTTGCACCTGTGTTGTATTTAAGTGTAAGAACCGATATATTGCTGCAGTGGACCGAGGTTTTCACAGTTAAGTTGTTTCCCTTATAAAAAATTTTGAATGAAAGTGTTTTTATGCCCCCAGCAACACAATTTAAATCATTAATTCATAAGAGGCTGGCCCCGGCGCTACATGCCAAGGCCAACCCAGGCTGAAAGGGATACAACACCCCAGCAGAAAGACTGAGATACTCAATTTTTTAAAAGTATTCTTATTCATAAATATATATAATTATTATGAGTATATATATTATATAATTATTATGTGTGTGTATGTTTACATATTATACATTTTAATTAAAGATATTGCTTTCCTTTGTGTGTGCAAATTAGATGCTTCTGTAGTCTAAATGTAGATATCTAGAGGCTCCATTAGAACATGAAATAAATATTCAACAACAATAATGATGAATATTTTCTATGTTAAAGAAACACCAAACCATATCAGATGAGGGGAGAAGGTAGGGTGGGGTGGATAAGAGTTTGAGTCTTGTTAGATAGAACTATACTCGGTTTAATTATATTGTTGTAGTCTTCACCTAAGATCCCACAATCAATAATTCCGGTTCACTTAAGATTGTGCTGTTAAAAAATAAACCAAACAAAGCAACAACAAATTTTACTACACAAGAGTCATCACTAAGATAAATTATCCCCCTCTGGAGTGTAATAAGGGACTAAAAACGCTGCTCTCCATATCATACTTTACTGGAGGAAAAAAAAAACCCTCAAAGGTTATCCACGCTCATGCATGCGATCATACCTCCAAGGGTGCTGTTATCTCTTTTTTTGTGTGGAATATTTGAAATCTACTTTGTGAAAACCAGGAAACAAAATTATTGTGATCAATAATATTATTTATAGACCAAGATGTTAGCAATTAGATAAAGCAAACATCGACCCTCTTTTGTGTCCGCTATTCCTTACACATAAAGTTAGTTATGGCACACGCCTAGAATCATGCAATCATATATCTGAAATTCAGTTTAAAAGTATATTTTCATCCATTTCTTATAATTATATATTTTAGCATCTTGAAAGATTATCTTTTTAATTTGGTATGTTTGATAATTTTATGTTACTCGGACAAGTTTTCTTCTTATTTTACACATCTTTTTAATTTTTAAACTAGATTATAACACTATAAAACTCTTAAAGAATTGAACAGTCCGTATCACACACATAATTTTTTCTCCCTGTCATTATCCGTCAGCCCGTCAGTTGATCACAATCTCTCTCTCTCCCTCTCTCTCTCTCTCTCTCTCTCTGTCTGTCTGTCTGTCTGTCTGTCTGTCTGTCTGTCTGTCTGTCTGTCTGTCTGTCTGTCTGTCTGTCTGTCTCACTCTCTCTCTCTCTCTCTCTCTCTCTCTCTCTCTCTCTCTCTCTCTCTCTCTCTCTCTCTCTTTCTCTCTCTCTCTCTTATTTAATTTTCCCCATTCTCCTTCGTCCCTTCCCAAGGCCCGCCCCTCCTCTTTCATCCCAGCCTTATACGTTCTCTCTGACCGTCTAGTCCCAGCCCCATCCCCTCTTCCTTGCGTGCATTCCTCCACCCCGCCCACCCCCACAACGTAGCCCAGTCCGATAAAATTCTATAAAAAGAAACGCCACAGTTCGTGATTTAGCCCACACTCGGTGGCCATACTTGATCCCCAACGCGGCGTACTGCTCGCGGCGCCGCGAAGAGAGAGAGGAGGCTCCATTAGTTCTAAGCTCCTTGGGCGAACGCAAAATTTGTTGGCCTAAATCTAGGCTATAACGGTGAACGCGCACCGGGTGAGAATAGCCAAAAGACTCGCCTGCACTATTCTCACCCCGGGTGAGAATAGAGGTGGCCTATCTCAATAGATACTTTCTCTTACCTCTAAACAGATGGGGAAAAATAGCTAGCATGGTTTCTGCTGTATTAATTAAGGGATCTGTAAAGTTGAGAGAATTAAGACTTTAGAGATGAGTCAATGGTTGTAAATAGGATAAATAGTAGGGTATCTTAAGAACCGTAGCGACGATAGTTTTTATCACAAGCGATCAAGGAGATTAAAAGCGATTCACATCCACTTGAATGGGGTGCAGAGGAAAATTAGGGTTAAAATCCGGAT